AGCGTGCTGAAGGAAGCGTGTGCCAGGAACACAAGACCTCTCTCCGTTCACCTCTGCTGTGCTGGAACACATCGAGCTGCTGCAACCCCCCACCAACCCCCCACCTCACCTTTGCTAAGGATCAGACCTGTTTGGAGAGTGCTGGAGAACCTCCAACAGACAGAGCGGCGAAGACAAGCTGAGAAGAGGAGGTAATGCATCCGAGTGTTGAGAGGAAGTTCTGATAATCAATAGGCGAAGAGAAGACGAAACAAAGATGGAAAGAAGGAAAGAAAGCATGGGGTAGGGACGGCCAACACATGCAGCCCGAAGGCCTTTTCACTATCCATCAAGTTCAACAAGTTGGCCCGAAAGCTAGCAGCTGCCATATGTGGTGAACCATTTACACAGTGAAGTCCAACAAGTCAGCAGTAGCCCGGCAGATGATATGTCGGAGGAAAAGAAACTGCATCCAACAGGAAAAACTTCAACGGCGCTCGACAGGCGGGTAATGTTGCTGCACTCCACATTTCTGGGCCAACTCTGTTGACCGACGGTGCATATTATAGAAAGTGTTTTAGGCGAGCGAGGTTGCGCCCTTTTGTTATGTTTTTAAGAAAAGCTAAGACAGAATTTTATTCATCATAAAGGGGAGTTTCATGCCTTATAGCTCCGAAATTACACCGCAAAAAGAAAGCAACACAAAAGTGCAGCAAACTTCAGAGTGTAAGTCGCACCACTTTGTTTGTTGAGGACCGGAAAAGTCGCTTTTTTACCTGCATAAAAGTGTGACGTTAAAGGGATATTCTGGCGTAAAATTAATTTAGGGTCAAACACACCGTAACACAAAGTTAGACTTCTTGTGTTTCTAGTTATACCAACTTTAGTAACGACCGCAGGATAGCAATACACAGCGGTCTGGGGAGCCATAGACAAACCTCAATCAAAACGCCACAAATAATGCTCAGAACAGCACCTAACTTCATCAACAGGACATATAGGGTCCCAGCCATAGTACTAGACACCAAACATCTTTTTAACTTTGCCTGATGTCTTTAGTAAAGAGACCAAAGAGACTAAACACTGAGACTAACGGACTGGCCTGAGGTCTCGCAACAAACAAGCGGCTGCTGGAACAGAGTAGGTGAGTTGTGTTTAGTCTCTTTGCTAAAGAAAGTTAAAAAGATGTTTGATGGCTAGTACTATGGCTGGGACCCTATATGTCCTGTTGATGAAGTTAGGTGCTGTTCTGAGCATTATTTGTGGCGTTTTGGTTGAGGTTTGTCTATGCCTCCTCAGACCGCTGTGTATTGCTATCGTGCGGTCGTTACTAAAGTTGGTATAACTAGAGAAGCAAGCGGTCAGCAACATTCATCTCTCGAAGGGATGTCTAACTAGGTGCTATGGTGTGTTTGAACTTAAATTAATTTTATGCTGGAATATCCCTTTAAGTTCAGCAATGTGCAGATGTGATGCTAATGTATAGCTCTTTTCTGGTAGCGCTGATAGTCGCCATAGGTAGCCTGAAAACTGGTGCTCAATAGCCTGAAATCTGAAGAAACTCCATCAAACTTTTAAGGTGTTTGGATGATCATATTGACTTTTGAAACTTGATCCAGATTCTTTCTATCTGAAAGCGTTATAACTCCCCTTTACATAAAACACACTCAAAGTTTTAAGCAAAGGTACACAAGGTCAACACTGGAGTTGTTAAGATCACTCCAATGTATTTAGATTCGCTTGAAAAAGATCATTTGAATAAACTGAGACGCAACTGACCCTTTGTCAGATAGGTGAGCTCAAGCAGAAGTTTGATGCACTCTTGACCCCAGCAAAGAGAGGATTTAAATGAAAAAGAGCACTGCTATCAAATACTTCACAAAGTTGCTTCGCGCTCATGAAATTTTTGTTTTTCTTTAGAGAACATCCTGACCTGGATGTTGCAGATATCAGGACAAAGATTGTGCATGTTTACAGCTCCAAAGAACCCTTCACACAAAAAAATCTCCATGCATTCATGCCGGCAGGATGAATTAGTAATACGTTCGCATGCTCTGGCCTTGGGAAAACATCCTCTCTTTACAATTAAGCCATCGGCCGACTCTACCTCTCCTCCCGATTTGAGGGGAATGTTAAAAGCCGTCACAGCTAATTGGTTCCCCTGCCTCCTGTTTGTCACGGGAACAAAACAACAATCGACGCCCTCCATCAACTCCTCAAGAATAGGGAGGTGAAACAGCAGGGTGGCTTTTCTTTTGACTCCGCCTCGGTTTCCGGCCAAGTCTTAGCCCACGTATATCTGGACCATCACTGCTCCTCTCCATGTTTCATCCCTTTGGCACTGTGGTTGTGAGTGACACCCGGTTTTTGTCGTCCCCAACTTCAAATCAACTCCACTTCATTCAGAAGAGGAAAAAAAATGTTGGTACTCTTCCCAGAGGAGCTGATTTCTGTCCATCGACTGTTCTGCCTCCTCGTCTTTGTAAGGATTTGAGCCGAAGCCAACAAGCTATAAACTTGTTCAATTATGAAGAAACAAAAAGAATCATAAGTCTTTGTTTGTGCTCCCTGCTTGGGCTGGATTAACTTCTCACACACGGCTAAATCCCCTATTGTCTAATGCCGCTTCTAATTTCCTTACTTCATTTGCTTTGAGGGAACACTCCAGCGTTTATATTAAAGAAAAGCCCTTCACACGGATTTGAGGGGCTATTTGCAAGTTAGAGAACGCCACTTGAACAATAACTACCCATCTCTAGTGTTAGTTATCCTCTGGATTCACAAGAGCCATTTCCAATGAGGGTGGCGGTGGCGAGAGGGGGGGATGATTTTGCTTCATCAGGAAGAAGTGGATCTTCTAAAAACAGTCATTTTGTTTCCGCGTCTTCCCCGCCCACCCGCCCTTCCATCTCGAGAGACGCTGCACGCTGATTCTCTCCGTGAAGTGCCTCTCCACGCTCTCAAAACTTACATCATGCATTGTTTCGCCCGCTGGCATGTTTCGCGGGCTCTTGGCCCATTTGGGTGTTGGACTGGAGTGTGTGTAGGTTAGTGGGTGGGCAGCAGGAGTGGGTTCTCTGCGAGGGGCAGTGGATGCTGGAATTCCTAATAGAAGGTAATTGAAAGTGAGCACTTAGAAGCTGTTGGCTGGTATTTTCCTCATGCAAGCTGAAGGGCTGCTGTAATCATGTCCTAGACTTTGTTGGAGTGAACATGCAGCGGGAAGACTCATTAGCGGATCCTCCGCATTATATAGGTGTTCCTCGCACGTTTACACTCAAAGCAGAAGGGAACATTTCTTTCCAAGATACTGGCGGAGAGAAGGAGCCTTGAAAAGTTTCACTGAAATGTGACAAAATTCGAAGAGCAGGCTGCTTGAGGTTTTGAAGTGGACGGCTCACAGAAAGAGCCTCCACTTCAGTATTATTACTTTCTTCTTTCTGCGCTGTCTCCGTCCGTGGCTTCCAGGACAAAAAACGGTACCCTTACCCTAAGCTGCGTTCGCCACCCCCGGATAGACTTGAGCAGCTGCTTGACGCTTTCATGCAGAATAAGGCCTTGTTCCATTCGTGGAGGATGAAAGGCAGAAAAGTAAACTCGAAAGAATGTGTCGAGTGCAAGGTTTGGTTTTTCCCATTGAAGGACATGTCTTCAGGATAAAACGGATGGACAAAATTGTGCTTAACAGTAAAATAATGCGGCTTTCTGCGACTATTGTGTTCAATAAGAGTGTACGGACACGAATCTATTTACAGAGGTAACCTTGAGAGAGGGAACAACTTGATTTATAGAACAGGAATAAGAGGGGAAGAGCGGGAGACAGAGAGAGGAGCACCCTGAGGTCACATGATCCAGCTCCAGTGCTGATAATCCACACTTTAAACGGTTCGACGGCGCTGGAACTGAAATTCTATAGCCGTCTGCCCCGCTCAATCAGCCACAATATCTTGCTCCAGCAAACAGAAGCTGTGGTGCTTAGCACCAGGATAATGATCAGATTAAAAGCTTTGACTGGTGAGACTTGGACTAATGCCAGGTGATGGGAGCAATTTGCCGCCCAATCAACGCCGCACGAAGGAGGGTAGGAGAGCACCATTGGCTACTTGCGACAGCGGGGAGGGGTTACAGGGGCGAGGAAACGAGGGGTTGGAAGCATCCCAACCCCAAAAAAAGCAGATGGTGATTCAACAGTTCCTATTGTCACATTCCATTACATCCTTTTGTCTCTGTGTTTCTCCCCGTCCCTCCTCCTTTCCCTCTAATCAAGTTCTTCCCCTGTCTTCCTCACTTTTACTCAAAAAAATGGATGGTCAGCACAAGGCCGCTTTTTTTTTTTTTTTTTCCTCGCCAAAGATGTTTCCTGTTTGGCTTCCGTCACACACACTTAATCTGATGCTGCGCTCAAAGCCACACCTGGCAGGATGGAGGAGGAAGTGAGGTTGAAAAACACAACGGGCAAGCAGAGAGTAAAGAAGATGTCTTTGTCAGGGAAAGGGAGACATGAGTGGGCCGGCGCGCTAATCATCGATCGGATGATTAAGGCAGATGAGGAGGGCTTTTTCCCCCAGTGAAGGATCTGATTGTTGGTCTCCTCCCGCCTGGCGTCCAGGGAGCACGCCGGCGGCAGCGGCTGAGGATCAATACACTCAATCACGGCTGAGAGGGGCAGCGTCAGTCACGCTGTGCCAGACTATTAGGACCAAGTAGGCAGACAGTGAATAACTCCATGCTTCCCTGGTCCCACCTCACACCTCAGGGGGAGGTGATGTACTGGCTGGCTGGCTGGCTGGAATGTGTGTGTATGTGTGTGACCATGGAGGAGTGTGTGGGTAGCTGAACACCTGCTTTAGTTTGGGTTAAAGGGACAGTTCGCAGTTTTAGGAAAAACAGGCCAACTTTGATGACTTTTTATCCGTCTAATCCAGGACGCTAGAGCGATCACTTGTATTTCATGTTGATGTAACCGTGCGCTGCTTCCTCTGCAGAATCCTTCATCTTTTCAAGACATTCCCTTGAGACTCTCAAGCCTCAACTCTTCAAGATGTAACACTCAACATCATTTTCCCTCTCCTCAAACCAACAGAAGTAACAAATCACTGTAAGATGACGTGAACCCTGAAAACCATACATGCGCTCCGTGGCACATCTTCATCTTGCTACTTGGAAACCTTGTCTCTGACAGAAACATGCCTTCTCCCCCTATAGACGACACCAACCTACACGGCAGGTGAAAGACTCGTTAGCATCGTAAGAAAGAAGGAGAGAGAAGGACGCCACTTCTGAGACAGCTGTGTCCCTGACAGACAATGGATGGCCCAGGTCCATCTGGATGCAGCAGCCCTGGACCAACATGATGTATACATCTTCACTAGCCAATGAGGGCCATCAATCCCTCCTTCACCATGGTGACCGGTGGTGACAGCCAGCTGAAGAGCACGGCCTCTATCCGACTATCATCTATCTACCTTTAGATTTTCCACCGGGGATGTAAACAAAAGCTCTTATTTTGGTAATCAGCTGATGATTTCGTCTTTATACTCCAAAACTAGATGAATCTTTAACACATGATGCAAATACGGTAATTGGCTTCTATGTCTGTTTTATCCAGTAATTAGGCTTGTAAACTGAAAATGGATGTAAGGGACCGTCTCAAAAGTGCAAGCAAACTTTAACGTTCAGGCTATTCAGTACTCATGACTCTTTTCAACATATTCCAGATTTTTTAATCACTAAAACACTTTTTACCAACCTGCTATGGAAATAACTTCAAAATAAAAGTTTTCAGGAACAATAAGCTCTGATATTGACCTTATAAATCCTTGAATATCAAGTATAATAGGACAAACCATAGCTGATCAGTTAATCCCAATAAAACTGATAATCAAAGTTAGGGACCATCCCCAAAGTACAAGCAAATTGGTAACTCAATTTTAGAATTGAGGCAAATAAATTTTCCCTTAATTCATTATGACTAAGAAAACCAATTTCCTTTATCGGGATGTTTTTTAATCGTTACAAACCAGATTTTTTTGTCACCTCAAACCACTTCAATGTAAAATAATTATGTGGCCTTCAGTTTTTTTTAATTTAGGAATCAAATACGACCTGTTTCAGATGCTTTAATTTCTGGGAACAGAAAAAAAAGAAGCATTTACTGTTTTTTAGGGACACTGTAAGCGCTGAGGACCTTCATTCAGTTTAAAGTGAAACAAAAGGTTGAGATAAGTAATGATAAAACCGCATTGCTACACTCCTACGACTCTATTTAAAATATACCAATTCACACTAAGCCAATTTACCTCTCTCTTCAGGTTTTTTCTTTCTGTTTGATTCAACATTATCCTTTTAGCAGACCCTGCTTTGATTTGAGTGTTTGCAGCATTCCCCTTTAATCTCCATCTTTAAAAAAAAATAAGAGGCAACCTTGTCAGCCCAGCAGTGGAGATGCAAAGAGGGATTGGAGGAACGGCCTTGCTACAGGACCATTCTGAATATGTTAACAGCACCGCTTCCCTTGAACTGTCACAACTTGAAAATCCACCGTGTTAAGAGCTTCACATGCAGGCAGTCATGAATATCTGCCGTTTCCATAGACTGTGGCCACAGAGGCTCTTAAAAAGCACTTGTTGTAATACATGACCAATTCCCCGGCAGCGAGTGCAGGGGAGTATTAACATCTCCTCAGCCTGGTTCGGTTTTAATGTGATGGAGATGTTATTAGAGCCATCACGGGCCCAAATGAATGGCCAGTGGAAGCGCCACAGCGGGAGAGAGAGGGGGGAACACATCGACCTTCGCCTTACCAAGGACAAGGACACTTGTGCTCGTAAAAAGGGGTGGTCCAATTGTTCACACCAGCCATGGCTGCTGAACCAAGCCTTGGAGTCAGGCGAATTACACTCCAAATTCTCTCATTCGGATGTTAAAGATGGCGCCGTTTCGTTTCGTTTTCTACCCTTCAATACAGTTTGTCATCATCAATATCCTTTTAGATGATATTTTCTTGCATTTATACATGAATAAACAGCAGAAATTCAAGGATAAAATGTGCTAATCTATAAATAATCAAAAATTTAAGAGGACATCTGATGTATTGAATAATTTGCTAATCATTGATGAGCATGTATATTATAAATAACTTAACAGCAGGGCTAGAAATCAAATAATTGACTGAGATGTTGCGCCGTATCCGTGGAATTGGCCGCCAAAACTTCCACCTAAAACCCTCTTTAATATCCCAGCAGTCGCTTTGATTAATATTACTGTCCCACATTGTTGTGTTAAGCAATTCTCCCCTCGACAAGAGGTGCTCTCGTCTATGAACACTTCTCCTGCCTCCCCTGCTCCTTTGAAGTATAATTATTTCGCTTTAATTAGGAGCGAATCATGCTTAGTAAACACAAAAACACGGTCTCTTCAGATTAATAAGCCGGGGTAATGCGTTAGACACGACGAGTCGCTTTTGAATGGGCTTTGGCTCGGCTCCAATCCGGGCATGATTCTCATTGTGCGGCGGCTCCCAGGCTTGACGAAGCTGACCGGCGACTCGCAGTCTGCAGCAGGGGAGAGTGGAGATACAGCAGGAGAAGCAGCACAGGCCTCATGTTAGACACTGAATTCTCCTATTGTTTCAACACAAAACATGCTGTTCTTTGTTGTCTGTGATTAATAATACATCGGCCGCGATCTGTGAGTCAAATAGAGCAGAATAAGTTATCAGGCACCTTGTTCGAAACCTTATCAGAGCAGTGAGTAACTTCTGACCCCTTCCTGTCATGGAAAACAAGTTTCTCCGCCAAAGTTGGAACCAAATCCAACATTTCCCGTTAATATTTTGACCATCTTTTATATAACCTCCTACTTGTAGAATTTAGACTTGAAACTTCTTTAAACCTCAGGGTAAGACTCGTGAAATTGGCTCTCACAAAAAAACAATGTGGATTTTTAGTCAAGTTACATCCGAATCAAACATTTCCTTCTATTTTTTCATAATTTAACCTTTAGTTTTGTTCTTGAAATTGGAGTCTGATCACGCTAAAAGGCCTACGCTACATTGTAAGATTAATTCATCACCACTTCCTGCCATGAAAACATACGTTTATTCAGACAAAGCTGACTCATTCTGTGTCATATCCCTTTATTATTTATAGACCGTCTTTCTCTTGAACCCTAATCTACTTCTTTATATTTGACTGCAAGTATGTTGTCTTGAAAAAGAGCTTACACTCGATATGAAGATTCACTTTTGGCACATCTGGTCACGAATAACTTGATTTTTTTTCTCTTAAGTTTATAAAAATTTAGTTTTCCTCCGACTTATTCTCCATCTTTTATCTAACCTTCGTCTTGCTTTTGAAACTGGAGTGTAGTTATGTGTTATCCTTCATGTAGCTCACACTTGATAAGACCGTCTTTTGAGCAACACCTGTCACAGATTTATTTCTTTATTTTCGCGATATTGAATGAAAATTCACCATTTTCCTTTAATTTAGTCGTTAGCTCTGGCCTACGATTGTGTTTTATTCTCAAAAACACGAAAAATTTGAGACTCCGGCCAAAGTTTAATCTTAATTTAACACTTCTTTCTAACTTTTTAACTATCTCTTTCTAACTTTTTACTCGTACTTTCAAGTTGAAGTGCAGTAACTGTGTTGAATTATTCACTTTAGAGGAAACCTTTTGTCGGTCGAACAATCCGCCGCGTCTTAACACCGGATATTTACGTGTCAGATGATCCTCAGATGAACCTTGATTACACCAAACCCAACAACCATCCCGTAACACATTCAATTATACTATCAAACTGAAAAGATAAAATGCTCTAATATTTACTTGCCAGTTTCAGCAGCAGTGCCGAGGGAGGGAGAGGAAAGGGAGGAGGGGGTGTCGCTCTCCCAGCAACTAATTACTTAAGCAGTTGTCAAAGGTTTGAAGCTCGCTCTTGAATTCCAATGAACACTGTCCATGGACAGCGGTGGTTTTGCATATATTATGAATATTTCAGCTTCTCCCAGTAACCTTGGTGTCGTTTGGCAGATAGGGGCTGGCAGAGAGCCATTTAAAAGCTTCTCTGTTGCAGAAGGGAGGAGACAGGGTATTAAGCTTTATCTATACTTGACATTTCCAAGCATTTGTAATTAATTCATATAGAAAATCTTTCCAACCCCCCCCCCCTCCACGCTCTCTAAATTAGCAGCCCAACAGGAAAGGTAACCGCTATTGTTTCTGGAAATGGACACCTGACACGAACATCAAACTGCGGGCGAAAACACAGAAAAAAAAAACGAAACCACTGGAGATATTTTCAAAGCTTATAGAGACACCTTTGTTTACATTGTTCAAAAATTCAAGGTAAGAGCTTGACAAACAGTCTGGCCCTGAATACAATCACAGGTTTAAGATTGTGAGTGGGAATCAAGATGCACATGATAATGCTGAGGAAAAGGGAATGTGAAAAAGCAACCAGATGGGGAAACTAGAGTGTGTCTTTATGTCACAACTTGGCAGGAAACCAAAGACACAGTTTGCGTGTGTGTTTGTGTGTGTGTGTGAAACCTAATATTGATTTAATAACTCAAAAATACTTTTAATGCTAAAGCTTATTGGCGAAAGCATTCAAATCTTAAATGTCCTTCCACACCGACTCGATAAACATGTATTCATTCCCCTCCGAGATCAAGATTAATGCATCTCCATCTTTACAGCTTTCTCTCTGTTTGGTGTCGGTAGACTGAAAACACCAATAAGAAGAAGAAGTACTTACATGCAAGTTGGACCTTCAGATTGTCTGAACATTTGGCCTTGCATAGAAAATACCTGCAGCTCTTTTCCTCTTAAACTGGCCACTAGCTCCCACTCGAATCCACCTTGAACAGATAAAAGCGTCAAATGAGAAAAGCAAGTAATTGCTATTCCAATATAACTTCTTTTAAACATACACAGTGTCAACACCCAACTTACAAAGGGCCAGTTTTATCTGAGGACCTCCAGTAATCTGTAATAATAGCAGAGGTTGATCTTAATCTGGCAGATTTTACCGTTTACATAATTCGTTACAGTAAAAATTCCACTTTGAGTTGCCTGCTGCATTTCTTCTCACAGAGTTCATGCTGTGATATAACTATCTTGCAAATGTGTTTCACGGTTTCCTTCCCATCTGCTTCCTTTCCATCCCTTTTAGCACACAATCAAAGGCTTTATTAGCCTGTTAGGACAGCCCATTACATAACAGGAGATAATCATGGTTGAATATGTAGATCGCAGCTTTCCCAGGGGAGTTTGTGGACAGTTTAGCACCAGCATCCAGTAAGTGACATCCCTTTAGCCATCGAGTCGGCAGTTGGCATCCAGTTCAGGTCAAAGCCTGATCTAG